GGCTATGTTTACATTGTATCGGATCAGTTTTTGTTTCGTTCGCGAAAAGTTACGGTCCAAGTGTAAACAGCTTCCGCCCCGCCCATCTATGCCGTCGTATTTTCTTCTATATATTATTAGAATAGTAAGTTGTTGTTTGCCAGATTCCATCTTGAGTCACGCATTGAACCGAAATTGCTCCGATTGGTGTTTACATTACAATGAGAGCGTTGCAAAAACCGATCCGATACAGCGCGCATCACTTCGAAGAGCGAACCGCCGCACCACCGGTCCGTTGCAGAAATTGAGACGATAACAACATTTCATATGTAAACAGAAGCCCTATCCGGTATGGTTTTTGCGTCGGACGCAAAGTGATCCGATACAATGTAAACATAGCCTATGAGATCAGTGAGTGGTCCGTACCGTGCATGTTTAATACCGACCGCTCGGGAACCAATCAATATGCCGCATTTTGCAGATGGACCGCCCTGCCATACAATAAATAGAAGAAATAATAATGGTCCAAGGATTGAGCTTTGGTAAATGGTCCAAGAATTGCCGAGCTTTGGAATTCAGGGTACGGTTTGCAATGCTTGAAACGGTACATGGATAATCTAAAAATACAATAATTTATCTAAAAATATCTGAGATTATTAATTTGAGAAATAATTGTTTATTGTGTTGTAGATAAAATTTAAAAGTCATTAGTCTAACAACTTTTTTCTCTACATTCAATATTTTCTGCAGTCTTGTTGACGTGTTTCGGCATATTAGCTAATATGTTCCCATATATGGATAGAGTGGATCGACCAACACATAATAATTAACTTCAGTGTATTTTTATTGATAAAATGTCGCAGTTTCGCTATAAGACAGTTTTGATTATCAACACTGAGCCTATATAGATTAAGGAAACTATACTATTGGTATTTTCCTTCATCTTTCTAAGGACTTTGACACATGGTACAAAAGGAAATTGTCTGAAGTAGTTTGGAAGTTATAATTACACGGAAGAACCCAAATAGTCAAATTTGCTCATCATGCACAAATCAAACAGTGATGACTATTTGTACCGGAGTTCTCCAAGCCGTGGACCGTTGTTCATTTCTTGCGCTTATTATAATGACATTGAAAATGCAGTAAAATTATTTCATTTGTTGTGTATGCTGATGATACTAATACATTTAATCCGACAAATGCCTAAAATCATTATTGTATACTGTGCAGAAAGAAAGAAATGAATGAAGTGATTATGTCCGAGTTAATTTAGTTAATCCAATCCCCCCCCCCCATCCAACGAGAGGAACGGAACTACACGCAATGAAAGCCCACTACGTTCGGAAGAGCGGTAGAACTATATATGAATTAAGGTTCATACGTACACTTGATACGCGTGCCATTAGTCGATAAAACATGTTTTACTGAGATCTAGACAGTCTTGTATACAAGCTTAAGAGTGAAATGTAGACATATATGGCCATGGGTACGAGTTTGGTTTTAATTATTAAAAGTTTTAGAGCCAAAACCTATTATATATTCGCCAATATCGAGTTTCTTGCACCAAATTTTTTTTTGTTATTGTCCTAAGTGTGTTACTTCTGCCCCCCCTCCAAATAATATCATTCCATAAATTCTGTAACAATGAAACAAGCTATAAAAAATGGTCGATTTTCTCTATCGAGCCACCTTAAGAGGACTTAAATATGCGATTCCTCATTCGCGGGTCCAAATTAAAACTGATAATATCTCATGAACTCGATTTAATAAATTTGATGATTCACGTGCACGCCCGAGTGGGGAAAATTTAATAACTTGCAAGTAATTATTCGTTTAATTAACTACTAAGTTTAATTTACTTTTCAACCGTAAACAACATATATAAGGAATTTATTATTTGGGGCGTTACGTTTTTCAATATTTCCGACACGAAACTAGAAGCGCCATTTGGACTGTGTGCGTGATTAATGCGTTCATATTTTGTTACTCTAGGAATCGTAAAATCGTTGATGTGCCACATGCAATAAATTTGTTTGGTGAGAAAGTATTATTGAAGAAATTAAAGAAAAGACTGCGTATTTATATGCAAACGTAAGTTAGAATTGTTCCTTTAGTACAGGTTCTAGTGTCAGTGGTTTAAAAAACACGAATATACTATAAAAAATGCATGCACGAGTCCGAAGGCTGAGCAGTTCTTTGATAATAAACTTATGAGTATATGTTTTTCCATGAGAAACCTTACTAATACTCATTAACTAATAATGTACATGTTTCATGAAAAAATTATACATGAGAAGACATACGAAATAAATTATTTTATGTTCACTTAATATATTATTTTAATGACATGGAACTTATAATACGGACAGTTTACAACTGCGGAAATTTTAATTACCCACCATGCAGTCACGCATATAATAATATGGAGGAACGATCATTTAAAAGCATGACTTCAACGAGTGCGGAAAATGATAGCTGCGCGCGGAAAATATCGTGCGCGAAATGAAATCGAAAATCTAGTGGTATACCACGCCAATTGTATTTCGTCAGTATTTGTTCTGGGATAATCTGTTCTGGGATAATCTGTGATGAACAATGATTCGAACAATTTTACGAAAGGCAAAACAAATAAATACAGTGAAGCATGTGCATGCGACACAGACTTCGAAATAAGCGCATGCAAGCTTAAAGGAATAAAGCACAAATCTCTAAAGATAAGCTAAAAGAAACAAAAGACACTCCAAAAGAAAATTCTGTTCACTGGTCTTTGCAAGACCCGAAGGTAAAATTTTCTTTTGTATTCCTGCTTATGCATGCTTATATCTCACTTGTGTGAACTATAGGCTTCATACACCCGGAATATTTCATTGCTGGAGACAGCCTTAATTGAAATAGCTGTCGAAAATGAATGGTTTTTCGTGAAAGGATCATTACTGATAAGAAATTGTGTTGTTTGAAAGCACAGTGATGGTACAGTGCCAGTTTTTGTTTCGTGAATATGGAACGTTTTTGTTTATTGCTCAACGGAAAGAGAAATCAGTTTCAACATATAATGCATGAATTAAAATACGGATATTTTAGGAAAACAACGCCAGCACAAAGAATGCGGATTTTAAATTTCGTCTGCCAACTAAGAAATACGGAATCATCACATCGCTTTTAATTAATTCTTCAATATCGTAAAGGACTCAGTCATATGTTGGGAAAAAGCACCACTGGAAAATGTCCGACAGCGCCAGCAGCACCGTAGCCAGGAAATTTTTAACAAAATATCTTCGCAAGAAATTTTCTGCTATACATCTTGCAGGAAATTTTTGTCAACTTATGTTATGTAATTTACTAATTGTTTACAAAGCGTTTTGCAAGTCGAGAATGTCTTGTCGGTTGTGAATGAAGTTTATCACAATGTGCGGGACAAAACGTTCTCCGAATCTACATATATACAGCTATTTCAATTAAGGTTGTCCCCGAGCAAAGCGGAAAAGTCGAATACGAGCACGAAAGGCTTGCTGGGAATCGCTAAAAAATTCATTAAATTTTTAGCGATTCCCAGCAAGCTTTCGCACTAGTATTCAGTGACTTTTCCGCTTTGCTCGGGGACAACCTTAATTGAAATAGCTGATATATGCAGGAAGTTTGATGTACATTCGCCGGAAGTTCTAAATTTGATTTACACAGGAAATTTTTATTTTGGAATTTTGCTGCCAGAAAGAGAAATATATTTTCTAGGCCGGGTAAAAAGTGTATATGTTTTTCTTGTCGTTTGAGAAACATCCAGCGTTTTTGGAAGATTACGTTATCAAGTCCTCGAACAGGTTCAGATTTCACTTCCCCCATTGCCGTGCCGCTACCATTAAGGATCTATTAGCCAATCAGATGCGTTTAATCTACCTGATTGACCAATCAGAATGACACAAAGTAAGTGAGAAGTAGCGGTAGTGGAAGTCAAATCCTCCACATCTGAACCTCTCTATTAACTCTTGCAACTGCAGTTAAAGCGTCCCCTTTCTTATATCACCCTTCGTTTGCGTATTAGAACGCCCTAATTAGCTATATAGCTACGATCATGAATGAGTGAAGTGGATTCTAACTTGATGTTATATGCATGGAAGTGTTATTGCATGGGGATCTTGGTACGCTATACATGGATCGTCCTTATATCAGGCAAGGTTGCAGGCAAGGTATCTTTATAATGACTTGTTATTCGATGTACAGTGAGTCAGTGACTATTTGTAGTGAATTAGTAGCCATATTGGCATTATTATCGCAATATGGCTGAGCTATATAGGATATTAATACATAATTGTCATGGGTGACTGCCCAGTTCAAGCCGAAAAAGAACTAATAAACAAAATGACTTGTGACTTGACTGGATCACAGACAGAGTGACTTGACTTGCTACTCGGAGTGAATGCATGACTTCAGGTAACTTGCAAGAAATGACTTGGTGCGACAACTCTGTTTTAAACGTAAAAATCTCATCACTTCTCACATCGATATTGGCGTGACAAGCGTCACAAGTCAGTTAATATAGCTAAACAAATTATAATACATTGTTCGTATTTACTCAAGTCATTGCCACAGTCAAATATTCATTCAAAACAAGTTGTTGAACTGGTTGTACAAAAAGCCTTGACCACCACAATAAGCCTTGAACGACCCATTTTGTAGTTAAATTTCAGTGTTTTAGTTAAAACGCTAAAATCCACGGTAACAGGTTTCTGATACAGTGCTGGTAAAAGGTCTATTGGATCATCAGTCTTGTATACGTAGCAAGTCTTTGTATGACACTCTTGCAACACTCTGTCAACAAGTTGAGAACAAGACATGCAGCCGCGGTGTGAATTAGGATACTTTACAACTATAAACAGAACTTCAAAGTCGATAACTTTGCGACGTACGAAGGGCCTTCGCTCGAAGTTGTGCCTAGCTATATTTCAGGTAGTTGTATATATTCTTCACAGCGCAGTTATCGTTTCTACCAATGTGTTTACACTGGCACCGACTATAGTTGTTGAGAACAATCACAACTTGGTATCGGCTTAGTAAATATATAACCTTGTAACAACCTATTTTATTGGGTAAAAAATTAAACAAATACAACGTATACACAGATGAATTTAGCCAAATAAATCACATTATACCCATGCAAGGCATCTTTCCAACAAAATACATCGACAAATATATGTACATAAATGAGTCCGTCAACTCCTCAGTGTGACAAAGACACTCACGCGATATTGACCATGTACATAACGTACGGCTCATGGCTACACAAAATTCCGTCATCTCACATTTCACGCGAAAATTCACTGCTCACGAAAATACCCTTTACCATCCTCATTGTTGGAAAGGTTCGATTAAATACTCACACGTAACTTTCAATATTTGTTCCAGAAATTGAAAATTATTAAGCATCTATAAACAGGAATATGACGTCATCTCGACCACCATGTCTCTTTCGACGAGTGGTCTTATTCATCCTCTTCACCAGTCATGCGAGTTTGGCGGCGAAATCTCGACTTGTGATTGGTGGTCTAGCCGGAATCAACATTGAGGAGGAAGCATGGTCAAGTGCTGGGGTCATTCCAGCTGTTGAATTGGCTTTAGAAAGAGTGAATAATCATTCGGATATTTTGAAGGATTACTACTTGGATATTGAGTGGAAAGACTCGAGGGTATGTAGTTTATGAAATAGTTTTCAAATATTATTATGAAATGCATGTGGTACAATGTATTTTGCATGTTATATGCCTATCATGGTGTATCAGTGGAACCAGTGTATGTGGTATTTTACAGTAGGCTTCCGTGGTGGGTTGGTGTTTGAACTACTTGAAATGACCAGTAAAGTTGGTAAGTTTGTTAAATTTTTAAAGTGGCTGAGACATGAACAAAACGAGCTCTTCGAATAATGCTTCCTGAGTTATCATATGAAGAAGCCTTGGTGAAATGTAATCTTAAAACTCTAGAAGGTCGTAGATAAAATATGTGTATTAATCTTATTAAGTCGCTGCTTGATCCTGGTGATAAACTGCATGAATTGTTGCCAAGTTTTATAATTTTAACTGTCGGACTGAACGTTTTAAAAATAGTGCAATTGTCTATGGAGTCGAACAATATAATAGTAATAATTCTTAATAGTTAATAGTAGTTAGTTTTTAAATTAATAGTTTTTAGATTGAAATAGGAGTATCCTTGTAAATAGAGTAGTGAGTAGTTAGTTTTTAAATTAATAGTTTTTAGATTGAAATAGGAGTATCCTTGTAAATAGAGTAGTGTATAGGATATATACTCTTCGTTTTTAACTGTAATTTGCATTATAATTTAGTGTTTAACGACCTTAATGTGAAATTTTAGAAAAAAATAATAATTTATGATCCCATTCTTAACTCCGACTTTAGTGTGCCAGCGGGTTTGGTATAAAAGGCATGGTGGAGCATATTACTGAATCACCTCCCAAAATAGCATTCTTGGGTCCTGGATGCTCGATTGCAGCCGCTCCCGTTGCAGAAACTCTACCTTTCTGGAATGTAACTCAGGTAATGAAGACTACTTCAAACTGCATGAAGCCAATAGTGTTATAGTAACTAATTTTTGCCACTGACGGAAACATAAGTTGGCTTTTCCTACCTAGGATATTACCAGCATGCAACGGCTACACCAAACTTTATCCATATACCGACATAAATCCTCTCCTATATGATGATGCATGTATTTACTTTATTTAGTCATAAAACTACATCAAACTATAAGTTACCGTGTACTATACAACCGAAATTAAAACGTATGGTTATAGCTAACGTTCCCTTATAATTTATCAATGAATCGGATGTCTTAACTAAATTTTGATTGCCAGACCTTATGTCTCTAAAATTTTCAATTAAAGCATCGCCTTAATTGACATAGAGGTCCTTACGCCACGTCACTGTCAAACAATTAATATTTGACCCACATGTGTCCCACATTGAATTGCGTATACCTATGATGTTTAGACTGATATATAGAGTCAATTAATCCATTATATTTGTTTTAGATAAGTTTCAGTTTGACGTCTCCAGATCTCTCAAACAAGAAAAAATATCCGAATATATATCGCATCAATCCATCAGAAACCATTCACGATCCAGCATTGTTGGCGCTGACTAATTTTTTCAAATGGGAACGTCTTTTCATCATTAAACATGAACTACGAATTTTTAGTTCAGTAAGTTTATATTAGTTTTTAAACTTTAAAACTATAAATAAAATTCAGTTGTGTTATTTTTTGGCCTCTCTTTGATATTTCATTAAAAACAGAGGGTATAACGAAACATTATTGTATGGCAAGCATCACTTTCGGTGAAATGGCGGACTGTGATTGGCCGAGAAGCACTTTCAGCGGTCCATTATTTTCCCGTAATGGACCGGCAGTCCATTACGTAAAAACAATTAAACGCATGCATTTTAAAACAAAACAGCAAAACTAATATTTGTTATTAATAAGAGATCTGCGAATGGTGTTTAGTGGAAAAGAAGGAATACATTGGAATTTTTTGTTTTCTTCGACCAAATGTGTACCACGCTACTAATATGCATTTCAAATCATGCATTTCTTGTTTGTTTCAAGTATAAATGCCTATATAGATGCCATATAATAAACTTTTTATTATAACCTTGCTTGCTCGGTATGTACAGACAAAATATCGGACCTCGGTCTTTTTGTACAAACCTCGCCCTACGGGCTTGGTCTGTACAAAAAATATTCAATCCAATATTTCTCTGTACAGACCTCGGTTTCGGTTAATAAAAAGTTATGAATGATTGGTATTATACCTGAATGCTTGCCGTAACTTACACTAAACAAGCATGTAACTATATATGAACGAGCAAAGTAATGTTTTCTTTCTTCTACTTTAAGATCACAGAGTCGCTACACGCGTTGCTCGTGGAAAAGAAGAAATCAGTTGATGTCATCGGTTTTCTTAATAACCCGACAAGTGCAATCAAATCATTAAAGGTGGGAGAACTAAATTCAATTATTCAAGATTATTTAGACTTCATACCTCTGCATGGGTTATTTACTACGCTTCTTAGAGGCCCTGCAGTTTGGCAGTTAAGATCCAACAATTCTAGTCTAGTTTTATTCCAGCAAAAAACTTCCTGCATCAATCAGGAAGTACTCTTCTCCCATGCAATTGATGGTTTCCACTATACCGGCATTACAGCTATCAGGTTAAACTATATACTATTAAAGCGCGATGTATTAACCACTATGTCATCAGTATCTTCCCATTTATGATATATTGGATTTGATTTAGGTTTCCCTCCAATTTTCATTTTCTAACGCAGTAAAGTTTATCTGTTTGTAGGATAAAGATGCCAGGATTGTTGTTTTGTTGATGTACGAAAATCAGGCGCGAAAAATAGTTTGTTCGGTTAGTTTGTTAGTGCTTTATTTAATTCTTCTGTACATCAAACCCTAGCTAGCACATCGCGCCACAAAACAGCAATGTCACATGCAGAGCATGCACAAAACATGCAATACAAAACATGCCACAAGACATTCAATACCACACCATGAAAACCCACAAAACATTGCACCTCACTATGCCGCATACAAATCATACAACACTGAACACCATATGACCATGCATAACATACCATGCCATACCATCCTACACATATGCATCGACAATATGTTATAGGTAACAGCAATCCTAATTGCCTAGTCGATATTATGTACGACACCACAGGATATTCTGTATATAAACAAAATATATTCAATTGTTCCTTGTCAGGCATATCAAAATGGATTTTACGGCTCCCACATTGTATGGATCCTACGTGGTTGGTACTCCAAGAAATGGTGGACAGTGAATGATACACAATGTACCATTGAAGAAATTAAGAAAGTTATTACGAATGTTTTTTACGTTGACCATGTTGACTATGCAAGTGATGATGCTGAAGTATTTGGATTGGTGAGTAAGTTTGAGAAATTGGGAATACCGTATTTCATCCATTTAGCCTCCAGCCTATATTGTATGGAATTTTTCCTCGACCTCATGTTCTTCTGTTCTTCTGAGGATGATTCTATAAACAATAAAGAACGTGAAAATTTATTTAGCCCCAAGCCTTTGTTTAGCTCCCTTCCAATAAGCCCCTAGTCCAGAACCACGGGAAAAAACAAGCCCTTGGGGGAGGGGAAGTAGAGGAAATATGATATACGAAACATTTCTTTGAGGTGTGGTACAACACGAATGGAACCCTAGATCATAGTTTAAGATAAGTTAGTCTTAGGAAATGATCCAGAGACCAGAGTTACTGCAGAAGAGTATTAAATTGGACCTCGAGATAGCGTGCAGGTATATGTTTGGTGGAATACAATGAGGCTATTATAATCAGATAGCTGTATATGCAGGATAGTGCATACCAAAATACAAAAATGCACCATAATAATGCATCCGATAGGATTTGTGCCACGTTATTGTACATGTATATCACTATTTCATGTTTCTTCCTCCCTACAGACAAAATCACGTTTTAATGAGAAGTACACGGAGTTGATTCGAAAGAAAAATAGCACGATTTTTAAAGTCAACAAATATGCTCCGTATGGCTATGATGCTGTTGTTATGCTTGCCCGCGCTCTGAATTCCACTGAGGAAAGTTTAAGAAGAATGAATAAGTCTTTATCCGATTTCACGTATGCACGTTCTGATATCGCTGAAGTTATCAAGGACAATATCAGTAACACGGATAATATAAAAGGACTCACGGTGAGTGCATGGGAATTCGGGAAACATTATTTAAAGTAAGCATTCAGGAAAGCAAAAACATTACCTCTTACTTTTTTGTTGGAAACTGTTTAATTAACTAAATATATTTTACTTACTAGGGTGTTATTAAACTGGACGAGCAAGGAGATCGTATAATTAACGTATGGCTACAACAACTACAAGGTATGCCAAAGCATATCAGCCCCATCGATGTAATTTTCAAAACAAGTTAAACCTCGCTTATGCATTATTTCTCCACATTTATTTCTCCATATTTCTACAAATGGTAATAGCTACTTCCTTAAATATTTTCGTATATTAATTTTAGATTACGAAGTGGTCGATGTTGCTTTATACTGTACCGAAAACGGTTCTATTGAACTGATGCCTTCGAAAAACTTCCTTTGGACTGGTAAGGAAGCAACTAATACAATGTTGGTTGCTCTTTGTTATTTTGTTCTTTTTTGCACTTTTTTTCTTTGTTCGGTTGAGATTTTGAAACGACTGGTTCATGTGAGTATCATTAATCATTAAGCCTACATGTAGGTCTAGCACTTGCTCAAACTTCTGACCGCCAGTCCTAGTACTGGACCACATTTACCAAGTTGGCTATTATATTGCACACGTATTATACGACTACATATAACTGTAAACTCAAAGGAGTCGTTTCGATCCCTTCAATAGAGTCGTTTTGTTGACCCCCTTCAAAAGGGTCGTTTTTGTCCCCTTCAGAGGCTACTCCTCGGAAGGCGGGTTGCTTCTACCCCTCACAAAGAGTCATTTTTGCTCTTCAAAGGGTCACATTGTTACCCTCTCAAAAGGTCGTTTTGACCTTCTAACAAAGTCTAAATGATTACCACATGTGTTTTGTTTCAAAATGATATTGATACATAAGATAATATTAGATATTATCCAATAATTTGGACATTCGAGACGCGAGTTACGGCGTTTTGAAAATTTGTTTTTCCTATACATTTGACTGACAAGTTCATTCTAACGTGTTGTTTTTTTATCAGATGGACGTGTTCCCTTGGACAGGAGAGCTAAAAATGATATTCTTCTGTGCATATCACGCCCAATATTTTGGTGGACTACCAGCGCTTCGATTTGTGGAGTTTTTGCTTCCTTTTATTTTCTATGGATCAATATCAAGCAAGGATCGCAAAGGTATATATTTGCAAAGTTTGCTTTCAGTTAAACCATATACATTAAAGAAACCGATTTTGACGAATTTAAACAAGACCAATAATATTTAAGACAGCTTTGGATTGATAGGGATGATACTACCTGAAAAATAGAAAGAGAACGTCAACATTCGAAGGACCTTCGCACGAAACGTCGAAGTTCTTCTTGTATTTTCAAGTATTGTTGTAACCCTATCAATCCAAAGCTTTCTTATTAGCCATTCTGAAGTTGATGAGAGGACTGGGGACGAGTGTTAAAAAGTGCCCAAATTAAGAAATGAACCAAATCACTAAAACGACCACCTCGAAATTAGTAAGTATACAAAGTTTGAAGACATTTACATGAATACCCTTCGAGTAATAAGCTTTCGAAAATCGCGATATTTACTATGAAATGTAGTTTATTTTTTGTTTTTGGGAACGCGCGTCCCAAAAACAATCGTTCAATCAGTAATTTCACAATTTTCGAAAGCTTATTATTCGAAGGGTATTCATGTAAAAGTTTTCAAACTCTGTATACTTACTAATTTTGAGGTGGTCGTTTTAGTGATTTGGTTCATTTCTTAATTTGGGCACTTTTTAACACTGGTCCCCAGTCCACTCATCAACTTCGGAATGGCTAATTATTGGTACTACCTCCACTCGCATGCAGATCTAGACCGTTCAGGATTAATTTTAAGACAATAAATATTTTGCAAAGTTTGGGTCTTTTAAATTTGTTTGTATCGGAGTATGTATTATACTTCTTCATTATTAACAATGCTCGTTTGATGCGTTGTTTTCTTATATATGCAAAAACATGTAAACAATTTGGTATTTTTTAAATTATGATCCTTCAGAACACCTTACACCATAGACCAATCTGAGTGCTCTATATTATTATTAGTATAAAGAATTAGAAACTACCCTCCTTCAATCGTACGACCACAAAAATTTATACTTCAGATTCTTCAAGATGTCCACTCCACCACTAAACAATCTCATGATAATCGGCGCGATTATTGCCTATATCTACGTACCTCTACATGGAATTAAATCTTGTACAATGGAAGTGACTGTCCTAAACTCTATTCTTTGCAAGGTAAAATATTTGTCTTTCAACAGCCAAGTTTTGTAAATCATCATAAATCATTATTTTATTTTCTTCCACTACCGGAACTTCGGGGCTTCGGTGGCGCAATCTACCTAATTTGTAGTATGTTTCCTTGGATCGTATCAGCTGTAGGAATCGAATCCATGTCTCGTGGTGGAAGGTGCATGCATTGATCACTATATGCAATAGGGCCTTCCAAGGTTAAGGACTCCATCTTGAATCTATTGTTTTCACCATTGTGTTTGCACCCCCTGCAAATTTCCCTATAGGGAATTCCATTGTATTTGCACCCCTTGCACTATTGTGTTTCATTATGGCGCCGTTAACCTCGAAAGGGTCTATTAACACCCTCTTTATTTCTTGTTGATGCGTACTTTCCATATTCATTTTTAAATCTCCCGAATGGGATAATATTTCCCTGCTATTTGTAGACAATCATTTCTCGTTTCAAGGTTGACGCATTTTTCATCTCAATTGCTTTCTCGCTTGTGTTTGGTGCAATTTTTATGAAAACATGGAGAATATACAAAATATTTACCAATGTGAAATTATCGAAACAGGTGAGAACAAAGTTCCCAGGGGGATCATGCCCTCAGACCGCCTAGGTCTGTGTCGTTCGCCATGGTTTTTTTACATTTGGTCAGAGCTTCACAGGAAACAAATTTACAGTTGTCGTGATACTAAATACGGTTTTATAAAGTTAATAAATATAGATGTGTAGATAAAGGAAATGGTATAACAACACTGTAGTAGGAGAGAGAGTTAAATCATAATTTTCTTTATAAAGTTACGATTTCTTACAAACAAGCATTTGGTGGTCCTGGTAATTCTGTTGGTTATTTTCGATTCGATATATTTACTCATATGGAATACTGTGCATCCTTTGCAAGACCGCATTGAAGAGGTGTTAGTAGAGGTTTGTAAAATTCATATATAAGACTGATGCGGAGAGCAAGAAGACGCGTAACGACGTCGAGCAAGCTGCAGCAGGAGTCTGGGGCACAGCTCCCAGCAGGTGCAGGGTGGAGGGATGTCGGGAAAAACCCCCTGAAAATGAAAATTTTTGAGATTTTAGTCTTGTTTAGTTCAAAATCTTTGTTTCAATCTTACTACTGTCATTTAATTTAATGCCTATTTAAACTTTTGGGCAGTGTGCATGGAAATTGCTCCAGCGGGAGGAGGGACCCTTTCCCCTGGAAAATCCCGAGTGTACTGAGCGGTCAGGTAAAGACCATTCACTTTAGCATGGTCCATTGTAATAATTAAAGAAAACCAAAGTATTGGGGAATATCATTGGCTTTGGTGGCGTCAAGGTGAAATATTTAATGAGCCATCATCTTGTTTTCTCTACTAGCAGGATATGAGCTAATATCCTGCTAATAGAAAGCCAACCAGATTGCAGAATACCTTATATCCGTTACTGTTGTATGTATAATAAAGCCTGATAACTGCGTGGTTAACGATCCCAATCGCAGAGCTGAAAAGCACATGTTCCTAATCGGCCATTCCGCTACCAACCCTGTGTTTAAACTAATAATTTTTTTTCATTTGCATATATTTTTTTCGTACAGAATCACCACGCAGTAAACAAGGTCTACTTTGCTCACGCGTGTACGTCACCATATTACCACCAGTGGTTTGTTGGTTTGGTTTCCTACAAGGGCATTCTAATGCTCTTTGGAATGTTTCTTACATGGGAGACAAGAAATGTCTCATTTCCTGGCTTGAATGACTCCAAGTACATTGGGATGTGCGTCTACAATATATTTATCGTTACTATGGTGGTGCTACCAGTGGGAATGTTTACGTTTAAAGCTAATGTGGATGCTGGTTATAGTATTACAGCTACCAGTATTATTTTCTGTACAACTGCCACATTGGTGCTCATGTTTTACACAAAGGTATTTCCTACTTTTATAATTTTATTGTAACATATTAGCCCTTTGAGTGGCAATGCACCATGGTGCTCACAAAAATAATAAAATGCAATAAAAAGGAATACCTATTGTATGATACAGTATACAACACAATGTACAGTACAATGCAATGCAATTCAATGCAACACATTATCACAACCTTTTTATAGTACCTCTCTTATACGCGCAGTTATTTCCTGTTTACAGTCACACGGACATTTTTGCGTTGTAGTTCTCAGTCTTCCAAAACAAGTGTGGGCCATTTTTACGTACTGAACTTTAGTGACTCACTATGATATAACGAACTCTTCTCTTACACTGAGACCCATTGTCATTGGCCTTAAAATGACATCGCGCTCGAGAAATTCAAAAAGAAGTCATTGTAATTGATAAAATCGAGGAAACAAAATTATTCAAATCAGGAGAATTTTGTGTGTGAATACGAAACCTCATCCGGAACATTAATTTCTTCATGAATTATTCCTCTCGAAATCCTTCCCTCCGATCCGGTGTCGAGGTCGTGTACACAAAATGATTTCAGAATATTTTTTGCAGATCCATCTTGAGAAGAAGACAGCGACTACTCCCACGCATCCTACGATGTCCGTGGATAAAAGTGTGATTGGGCCAACAATTGCAAGAAATGCCATTGGTCCAAGTCCTACATGGAAGCATTGTTACCCCTGAATATTCTAGTGGCGTATATTTGGATACATTGTTTCCAAGTGCATCCTATAGCTTTAAGTTCACCGTGTCGTCCTGCGGTAAGCCTGTAACCGTGCAGGTTTCAGGTACTGGATCTAGTCATGCCATCGGATAAAAATGCAAACAAGTCGGCAGCTATTATATATTTACTGCTTGAAGGCTGTAAGATTTCCCATACACTGTAAATAGTTATTAACAATAGTCGGTATACTGGAAAATGTTATACTCGTGTTATTATGAAATGAAATTACCAGAGAATATCCAGATATTTCATGTTGAAGAACAACACAAATGCACACTATACTTTTATAAAGCGATTTTGTTTGGATATATACAACTGATCATTATATCTGATATTAAACTGAATATAATTTAATGAAATAATTTAATCTGATAACTCATTATACATATTTGTGACGTAGAAACGCTGTTCGCAGGCTACGTTGACACGCGTATATCAAACTAAGTGAAATATCTCGATAACGAACCAATAGAACGAAAAATTGTAAAATAATTTACTCCATAGTACTAGTTTTTTTATAGCTCTTTTATAAGTAAGACAATAAAATTGTTCGTTTCATATGTACTTGATCATGATGTTGATAATGCTAAAAATATTTATTTGCATATATCTTTTTTCAGTATATGTAGCAATTCGGGGCGGTAAATGCCCCCAAGTTAACCCACGCGCTTTGTCTGCCTTATATAGTGTCTGTACCTGCTGATGATCATGAGGTGAAGATATCCACCTCCCTCGCACAAAACAACCGCATACTAAACCCCTGCAAAGATGGAGGCATCATTTAGGACTGAAAACGTCAGAAAATCACTCGCATGCAACTAGTACTTTTTATTTACATTATCTATATGTGCTGTATGTTATTACGGATCGTATATACGCGGGTTCAGTTCACTTTTCAAATGAAAATTTAAAATGTCTATATGAGACTTAAAGATTCTGGTACTAATAATTTTTCATTATAAATCGCGAAACATAAATATATATGCATTATTGACAAGGATGCCAATCTTCTAAACATTCGAAAGATGTCATTTAGTGTCAAGGTAAGCTAAAATAAGTTTATTCTAGTAAACTGTATACATGATGTAAAAAATCTCGCTAACAAGGTGAGCATGCAGGCACTTATATATAGTTAAAAATAGTTTTAGGACTTGTTTAATCGATCAATAATAAATTAAATTAATTAAAAGGCTTTTTTTCAGTCCATGCCGCGTGCGATGATGAAAAGAAATGAAAATTTAAACTTTTTGCGTACCTACTTGAGAATTATTTTTGCGTAATTACTTGAGCATTATTTTCAGTCCGGTCGTATACATGCAGTTAACGTCTAGGTGGAAGTAGAATAGTAACAAAGAATTTAAAAAATTGAATTAAGATTATTTTTCGGGTCGCGTCATTTTGAAAACGCGTGTAACGACTGTCTCCCAACTTTCATAACTGTTATTCTCGTTAACATCGGATATCATTTTCTGTAATTCAGTTGACGTATACCATCTGTTCATTTTAGCATTACTTACAGCTAAACTTAAACATTCTTTAACTATTGTACAATCATACGACTATTGTACAATCATGTACTGAACCATTTTATTGCCACGAGTTTCAGCAAAAGAAGTTTCCTCTTCAGAACTTAGTCAGGCAAGTGAGATACCCTTTATAAGGTAAGCTTTCAAAATATAGTTCAAATACAAAATGAAAATTATACACTAGTACACAGTGGGATATCAGTCTTAGGTACATGAACCGCCTCACACAATCACAGCAGCTGATATTTATTTACGCGCATATGAGAAAAAGTACACGCAATTTATTCACTGTTATTGCAAATTAGAATTGATAATGATGCGTACACAACTATAAATTACATGCCGGGTCGCATTGAGCCATTGACGCATAACAATCGGGCGGTGGGGTGCACGCAAATGTCTCTTTCTATATGTATATTAGTTTCTTTTCCCACATCTCTTTCAATGAGTTTTAAAAAGTTTAAACACTAGAGACTTATGGCAGCCATCTTGGTGTGACGGGAATGAAGAGGTCACCATTGATAAATTTCAATTCAGACAATGTTCATCCAGTTCTAGTCTTCAGATCAGTGATTCCCTTGAAGCCGGCTGGGCGGCCGGCCCGCAGATTCAAAGGTCACAAACTCCTAGATATAACAATCCGAAGACCAAGCTGTGCTTTATTGTTGTCTTTATACACTTTGTCTTACAAATTACAGTGCTTTCAAGTTCTTTCTGCGCGATTTACCTCGTACTGAGTTGTGGTAAATCGGCAGTTATAAGAGAAGGGGAAAAATTTAAGCTCCCTACAAAAACGAGCAAGGTGTCCATGCATGACAAGTTTACCTTGCCAAGCTTACCTTGATAAGTTTACCTTGATAAGTTTACCTCCACGTGTGTTTTACCCTTGACAAGTTTTGTTGCTCGTTTGCACGGAATGTTCTTTAAATTATAAAAAAATATTCACGTCAAAATCGTCAATGCCGCCTTTTGTTTGCCAAAACCATAGAAGTATTTCTTGTACACTTGCCAAGTTTTTTTTGCGGTTAGCTTTGGAACAAAGATCCTTGGCAAGGAAGAATTGTCAATTTTTTTGCCATGCACAAGAGCGAATAAAACTTGTCAAGGGAATTGTTCGTCTTTCAGGGCTTTATTTGTTTGACGTAGTGTTCTTGTATTTATTTGATCCGCCGCAAATTAAAAAAAATAATAACTTTATTTAGACAAGTACCAAGATTGGTAGTATTGGTAACATTGAATACAGAGGGTAGATTTTCGAAACTAAGAGGGCCTAAGAGGGTAGATTTTCGATTGCAACCATATACATAAACATGCCCGGATTATTAAAATAACCCGAACGAGTGATGTATTTGGTAGAGTACTAGTCGAGCTTATAAATGCAATTCGCAGTTGGATGTAATATTGAAAAGCTTGAGTTGTAATATTGAAACAGTGCAGTTCGTTTCTGAGTCAAGTCTGACCCACCTAAATCGCAATGTTTACACACTTTTCGTCGTATAGAACATTGCTATGTCAGGTAATCTATGAGATGAACTACCGAGCTTTGTAACAGCTTGACGATGTTTAACAATCTTATGTATAATTTCAGAAATATATGACAACAAAATAAATAAATGTAAAATGACCAAATGAATCGAACTGGAAATGTAATTCAATCTGGTGCCCACCATCTGTTCACTGAAACGACAAATATTACATTGTCTGTTTAATCGGACTGGAATCCCCCATAGAATCCACTCCAATACACCACTCTGAAATATTAATGGATAATACGTTGTACATTTGTACACTACAGTATAGCTATATGCACTATTAAATACGTCTTTATTTTTCCAGACGCTTCGCTTGGATTCCTGCTGTGATTTACATACTAATTTATTCACAGCATGCAGTTGAATATATAAAGAGCCACTTCTCGCATGGGTGTGTGGTGAAAAGTCCAGATTTGAACGAGCTTCGTTGGTCAAAATTGTCCTCGAAGATGTCGGAATACGCTATTTTCGCCACCGATATATCGGCAACAAATCTGCCGAATGTTGAACGATTTGGCAAGAGTGATCCACTGTGTGTTATAGAGTTTCAAGGTGGGTAAATTTTGCTTGTTTGTGCAAGCCGAAATGGTTGACATATTTTGTGGTTGGCTGGCTTCAGATTATGAAACCGACTAGAAACTTTCGATTTTAGGCTTGTTTAATAAACTCACTTGTATGCTTAGGTATTTTATATACTTTTGCTGTTTGAATGATGCGTTATGTAGCTATTTGCCGTCCGAATTCGTTGTCTGAATAGCCGACTGCACATTTGATCTTGCGCCCGTATATAGTTTCAGTAATGCAATATCCAGCAAAGCTATTAGTTATAACATTGGGAAGTGGAACTCTCGTATAATTCCGGACAAATAGATGTACAATTTCTTCAAATATAAGCATGATTTTAGGCCAGCAAATACATTTGAACCCTCGCCCGAATTTAGTAGAATTCTAGAATACCAAGAAACAATTAACTTCATTCGGTATGAACATTTTGCATACCAATTGTCCATAAACGGTTTTATTAATAAAAGCTTTTGGTAATGTAAGAAAACGCCTTTTATTTGTATCGCAAAACAGGCATTTTGCAATATATTTCTTATAAACTCTGAAGAATATTTATACAAAAGGTTCTAAAAGTCCTTCTAATGTGGCATGTGACCTTCGTATATTATTATTATAAAAGGCAGAAACGTATTAAAATCAACTGTTTACGTTGTCAAAATTAAATATTTATTGATATAGAATCTTTAAAACCGACAAAGGAAATCACCGAAAGTCCTAGCCGTCATTTTTGCGGTGCTAAATATATTTTAAAACATCGTATAGCTGATATACAGTAATTTTACAAACTCAATGTTTAAAATTTTGAAGTTGCAAATCAAATACAGTGTTGCAAATTAATGTACGGCTTTGTTCCACACGAGTGGCGAACACCTGTTTGCAGGTTGCGTCTGGCTCTTCCGGAGCCTGTTAATACAACACTCTTTCACGAAAAAATTTTTCTAGAATCTCAAAAAAATAGTTTGGTTTAACCCAACATATTTTGGCCCTATTTAATTTTATTTAAAACTGATACATCCAAAGTTATATAAACCTATGATATGTATTATACAATTCATAGCTTACCTAAGCAAGAAAGCATTTTCATCATTTTGTAAAGTGCTTGAACCTTGATAGGTTTTCCCAGCTATCCAAAAACGAGTTGGATAATGGAGTTGGATTAGGAACAATGCATGTGAATGGAAAATTGTGAGATTTGTAAAACAAAGAAGAATACACAACATTGTATTCTGGTTGCTTTCCAGGTCCATTCCTGTCATCTTTAAATTAATCTTATAATGAATTTCAGTTTGGTTGTGTTTTAGTTTTTATTGCTTGGTTTACTTGTTCGTGCTTCAGTTACATTTTCATTGTGCCTTTACTTTAAAGTACAGATTATATAAGGTTTTTTTAACAATTTAATTAGGGACCAAGGGCAAAACTGAAGTCATTGATGATGAACTCAATCCAGTCTGGAAAGAGGTTCGTATTAATTCTAGTTTTAACATTAGCTACTTACAGGAAATCCCGGTCTAGGATGAAAGCATGGTAAAGTTGCCTTGTATTAGAAATACACCCCTGCATGCTTTTGTACATTGTGCAGCTACTGTAAATTTAACTTATTTATTCAAAATATGGTTCATGAAAGGGCTATGATATGTAGATCAGACATTTGATGTTCAAAAGCATAATGCATGTAACTGTTCATTGTTCATATTATACCTACTTAGATTAAGCAACCCTGCTCAAATCAACAATCAATAATCATTAATGAAGCTCAAGTATTAGCCTAACCAACTCAGTCTGAAAGAAGCTGTGCTCAGGGCTACTGAACCTCGATCTATATTGCTTCTCTATTTAAACTTTATCCTTTTTAGTTTTTTTGCAGTGACAAACGTTTCTTGGAATAATCCTTGTTTTACACCTGCCTGAAAACATTCAAAGACATAGTGGACAATGTATTATAATTGGATTTGTTTTATATTTTACAGAAAATTGAAATTGATCTGCAAGGGAAGCCACTGTCCTCTTCAGACAGCCTGACAATTAAAGTTTTTGACCATGAAAAGATTGGATCAAATAAGTAAGTTTTAAAACAAACTTATACATGATTGTATATGTCTGATCAGAGGTAGGGTTATTGTAGCAGATGCATGTATACAAAAGCTGATGTAAAGGTGGCAAGTTTCAGAGAGCACAGTAATGGCCCAGAATCTAATGCCCCAGAATCTAATGCCCAAACTATTCAAATGCGTCAGAGAAAAACATAAAGTAGCCTACAACGGTATAAAACCACCCAGTTAGGTTCTTGTTTTAGTTAGCTTTTGTAAAGTACTTGATAGGTTTTTCCAGCTATTCAAAAAGGGTTACTAAAAAAAGAGTCCTTTTTTGAGTTTTTAGATTATGTATGATGTGACTCCTTGTAATACAGCGCTGTACTTGATCAATGTTTTAGATTGACCGTTTTTTCGTTGATTATGATTCTATATTATTCTAGTGAAGCTACTGTAGTTTAAGATCAATTTTGCTGTTTTATGCCATCTACAAAATTTAATTAGTTTGGCAATAAAAAAAACAAAGTTACAATGAAATTCTTAAATTGTACAAAACTGTACATTATGTGCTAATTTAGTGAGTTCAGTTAAAGTTCATCAACTATGACAATATTGTCGTTAAAAGGTTACTTGGGCAATGTACTGTGAAATTGAAGGATTGTGTGAAAACCAAGACAATGCAAATCAGCCAAAGATTGCAAGATGCCAAAGGGCAACCATCTGAGGTACTGCATGCACATAATATCATTATAATGATTCTAATAATTATCTAGAGGACGAAGTTACATGTACCACATATATATATATACAAATGACTATCACATGCTCTATACATTAGTTAATTTGTGTGCCTTTCACTACATATTGCAGGAATCACATTCCATTCTCAGTAGTTATCTGTTTTCTAATTTTTCTGTATTATATATAAGTGAGAAGTGTTTTTGTTTCTGCAAATTGTCTCTGCAAAACACAGCAGGTTTTCTCTGGGTAGTGGGTACTCTGGCCAGTTTCCTGTATTAATACTAGGCCTATATAATACTGAGTACATTCTGCACTTTCAAGCAAAATTCAAACATAACTGATGTAATGCTATCCTGTACAAATAAACTTGTGTCTTTTCTTTCCTCAAGTATGTGCAGTAATCCCATTGCTTACGTTTTTGTAACAATTGGCAAATGTTTGAAGAGTCTGCACTCATGGCAGCTATGCTCTTCACTCAATTAATGGTAATTCGCTGGACTCCCCCCTTGACAAGAGTAAAATCGTCCGGCGTTTGACAAAGTAAAGTAATAAAATGGAATGCACCTTAAAGTAGCAAAAACGAAAACCTTTGTGAATTTGACAATTTGACAATATCACATTTCAGGCCCAAATCAGCTGTAAGTTGAACTACAAGTGTCCAGAAGAGAAACCAGCTGCGTCGGCAGGTGGATCAGCGGAGGGTGAAGAAGAAGGTGAAGAAGGTGACGAAGGAGATGAAGGTGACGAGGGTGATGAAGGTGAATCTGGAGCTCCAGGAGTTCCTGGAAGAAAGAAACGGTAACGAGATACAGTATTATACAAAAAAAATTATCTTTAAGGCCACGAGGTATTTTTGCTGCAACTTGCCACGCAATAGGCAAATTGGCTAACGTTTGTTTATGTACTATATTTAAAACATGAGCAGCAGTGTTTTATCAGATATAAAGATTCGAGGCGAGGCCGAGTATCTTTTAGGTCTGATAAAACACGAACTGCGAATGTTTTAAATTGCTTCAAAAACGATCGATCTAGTCAGTTTATTGGTGAAGTAATTTTCAAAAAACACGTCGTGTAAGTCGAGAAAATCGAAGTTAAAGTTTATGTAAATCGAGGTAAATCTCTATCACATATAAAGATACGACACGCTTATGATTTTTCTTTGTGTTTTCTTCATGAATTATTAATGCGTTTTTGAAATCCAATTCACAACTTTAGATAACTCGCATGCCTAGTTACCATTGATCATTATTCTAGAAACATAAAATAGAACAAAGGTAACTAAGCTTTAGAATTATCTACATGACTGCATGAGTGAATAACTCTATTATATAATTCGAATGTTTAGTTACTTTTGTTCCACTCTGCGCTTCCGTAAACTCAGAACAATAGTAACTAGCCAACTAGGCATGTGAGATTTCTAAAGTTGTAAATTGGTTAGCAACAATGTAAACAACGTTGCCAAATTTTTCTATAGACAAATTCTACGTGGATGCCTCATAATTTGAGGCTATATAGCCCGCGTGTTTAACTATATATACTGTACTGTAGCTAGCCTTTGTGTTTAACTATACGCCTCTACAGAGGGGAGTATTCCAGGGCTCTAACTAATGGGCTTATACCCTGTAATGACTAATAGGCTTACCGGGGTTGATTAAGGTCATATAATATAACCGTATGTGTTCGATTTTTTATAGAAGAAGAAAAGGAAGAAAGAGGAAAGGACATGATTTGCCAAACAAACCAACAGACTTTCAGGTATACACTATACAATATTTCTTGCCATTTTCCAGTTTGCGTACGTTCCATCTGGTGAATCCAATAAATCTTTCTGAATTTCAATATCTTCACTTCCTGCCGAATATGGGATCACTATGTAATCACAAATGGATATATATGACCCATACAATCGTACAATGTGGAAGGTAGGAAACGCTTAAAATCAGGAGGAAATTGTGTTTCCCGGTAGTGTCTAATCTTGATTTACTGCAATCATTGCATGGGCGTTACATGGTCAGATGGTCAAACCAGTCACTTTGTTCAGTTACTTTCAATTTCATTGTAAATATTTGGGCAATTGTAGATAATGAGCCATGTGCCGATGGAAAGCTACATGTATAATAAACCCATTATTGTCATTACAACTAGTTAAAATAAAACGAATTATCGAGGTTTCCAAAGACTTGAACTGTTACAGTAATTGCTCTTAGAAATTGCGTTATCCCGATAGGAATGTCCGAATGAATTGTTGGTAGTATCCTCGTGTCCCGTCTGCAAATACGTTTCTCTTTCATCTTGACCCAACGATGAATACAGCTCCATTCCTAACCATATTGTGCGAGGCACAAGGATCTAACCGAATTGTTCAACCGTTTTTTCTTTTGTAGATCCGTCTGAAAGTTGTGGAGGGTCGTCAGTTGTCAGGTGGAAATATCAATCCTGTTGTAAGAGTGACAATCGGTGATCAAGTGAAACAAACCAGAGTGAAGAAATCAACGAACCGACCTTATTATAACCAGGTAACCTCGTTATTGTGTTAATGCCTGAATCTGAAACCGGACTCATCCTAATAACTCGGAAAATGCGGTCCACTGCCAGTTTCACTTCGGGGAACAGTCTGCTGTATGAATGCAGGATTGAGGGTTAAACCCAGTCGTTTACTCGCCTATTTTATCCCGCACAGCGAGTGGAGTTAGGGGGCATGCTTCCACCGAATTTATTCGGAATATTTGGCGTACATATTCGAATGCAAATTATGCAATGTGATATAAGTCTGAACCGGTTTGGACTGTGGGGATTGTCAGTTCGATAGTTTTTCTAAAAGCGCCAGCTTTCAAACGCAGAGTAAGAACTGGTTCCCTTAACAGTGGCTTTGTAGTACAACGATTCTTAATAAGTGTATGATTTTACGAAATTAATAACCTTCATATCTATATTTCCTTGTATGTAGACTTTCTACTACAACTTTGGAAATATCACACCAGATGAACTTTTTGACAAGATAGTGAAGTTTGAGGTATTTATCTTTGCTCATCTGGCATGTTTTCACAACTAATCGTGAAATAATTACGTCGGATATTGTTTGATGACAATTCTAAAATATACATCAATTCTATAAAAAGCATAATATTTTTGGCTCCGGAAAATTTGGCTTTTGGTAGCTTTATAGTTCCAAGGGGGTAGTCTGCTCCGTCGGCACGACACTATATTTGTTAGACTTGGATCAAGTCCGTCTCTCAAGAGTACGAGGGATCGGGTGCTCGATCTCGTTGCTTCGCGATTCGGACTCTAGAGAGACGGACTTGATCCAAGTCTATATTTTTGTTTGCGTAAGTCGTCCACAGAAAGGATCGCTGCGTTCTCGCATGGATTCTAATTAAGAGGCTTCAATCATAATCCAACTGATGGTATCTTCGCAGCATTGTCTTTTCAGGCAAGTGCATGAGCCAATTGTCTAAATGTATACGCGGTTCCTCTCGTACTGAGCAAAATTACTATTGCAACAACCATTCAATAGCAGGGTAAATCTGACCTGTTTCACGACTTTCTCAGCTCAGCTCACGTTCCCTATTAGGCCACTACAAGTTAATCTTTAGTTTCTGGTCCGGCCTTACCTTCGTTTACGACGCGGGCGGGTGGGTGGTTAGGACTATAGGACATAATTACAATTGTGGCTTTGCCCACATTTTTGTGGTCTTTTTTGTCCCTTTTCATGCTAATTGTATCAAAATGTTATGAAATTTTACATAAGTTGCATTTATATTATTTATAAATCGACATGTATGACAGATTACAAAGGATTTTACATATCAAAATGATCTATTAATATCATAATATTTCTAGTTTTTTTTTACGTCGTAATCTCGATAAGGCAGCGGTTTTTACCATTCAATAATACATTTTGCTAGGTCTTTTTAGTGTAAAGTGAATATTTATCGTTCTATAAGTTAAATCCTTCGGGAAAATTTTCAAGAACTAGAAATTAATTGTAAATAACAAAATAGTCCTGAAATAATACTTTACGGAGAAAGGATGCGGGCGGCGGACCAGAAACTAAAGATTAACTTGTAGTGGCCTTAGTGGGTTTGAAACTCCCCAGCTTAAAACTCTTAAAGACTGATGGTCGATAGCGCATGCTTTTACCCTTTTGTTCGATAAGTGAGCTTTTACCCTTTTGTTCAATAAGTGAGCTTTTACCCTTTTGTTCTACCAATGTACTGCATTTCAAATTGTTTTCTATAGATGTGATTTAAAATTAATTTGCCATTTTGGGCTTCACTTTTGGCCTTTAACTAAACCAGGAGTCTGAATTTTCAGGTTTTCAACTCTCGCAAGTTGAGGTCAGATGCTTTGATTGGATTCTTTAAGGTAAGACAATATATCCCTAATTATTTCAGCTTAATTCTTAGCTTAGCCTTTCAATGTTGGTATATTTTTACATATTTTATTTTTCTTCTAGTGTGATGTTGGTCTTATTTATGAAGGCAAAGGTATGTAAATTAACTTTAAAGATCTACAATTTCTACATATTTAAGATAAGAATCAATTTATTAAGCTTCATCGACTTTACACTTTTCATGTTGTCTACGGTAAGTTGTCTTTTATTGTCAAGGTACTGCACATATTGGAAATTCTGCAATTAATTCGAACTATATGTCTTTAACACGTCGGAAAATATCCATCCAAAATTTTCAACTCCTATCAGGAGAGCTAACCCATGTATCGACATGATCTTTTATTGCGCAGAATTTCTCAGAAATTACCATGAGTTTGTTTCACCGTTTTTAAACGATTGTTTATTTTTGCAGATCATGCCTTGCTGAGGAAATGGATCCTCCTCACACAGCCAGAACAACCTGAATCTGATGTTCAGGTACTGTCACAAGGATTTTATTTTGGTGGGGGCAACTTAATAATTTGTGAGACAGAATTCTATAATGGGGTCGGGGGCATGCTTCCCCGCGCATAAATCTCTGAAACTGCATTTCCTGAATTGTGGAAGTACTTTATAATTAGAGAAAAATGTACAAAGGTCTTATTGAATTACCTTTTAACAGTAACAAATATTGACCTGAGCATGCTTGACAATGTAATTCAAGCGGGAGATATAGCCACATAGAGCTTTTTATTACAATAAAGTTCGGAAGATTCTATGAGTAGATGCGCGCAAGATACGCAACAGAACATTGTCTGCTGATAATTTTTCCATTATATATTAGCTAACCAGAAAAGAATACTTATGCAAAAAAGCTTAAATAAAAATATTATAAAATTCGTTTCCAGGCTCCTCCAGACGAAGGGGGTAAAGCACCTGAGGCATCAACACTTGGTGGATCACCTGCGGTAAGTTTTTAGTGCGCTAAAAATTAGTATGCTACGAAGTGTTGTGAAAACAGCTCCTGTAGGATTACTTGATATAAAGTTGACTTCTTTTTTGAGCTGAGTAGACTTCAAATTGTCAGAAAGTTATGGTGCTTTACAGCCTAGACCTAGGGCCTTCTATTTCTATTCCAGCGCTTTTTCACGTGAAAAGACCAGTGAACTCCATGTCTTTTATATTGTTAAGTAAAATAAATTGACTTCAGTGGAAAAGGCTGGAATCTAAGAAATTTGGATGACGTCATGAGGTGTAACGATTAACCTACAATCAACTGCCACCCGCCGAGTAAAGGCCATTGTAGGCTTTAATGTTGCAGACTTGGGAATTAAAATTTCATGAAACTATAGAATTGAATTTAATGTTGTATTTCATATGCCATCCATTTGCAATAGTCTGTTATATACGCACGTCACATTTGAAAATTAGTGCGATATGACAATCTCAATAAGATAGACATGTTTCACACATTCATTCACCTGATGTGAAAATTAACTCGCATATGAAATTTCTGTTACATTTAGGGTTATCTCAAGACTTCAATGGTGTGTGTAGCACCTGGACAAGATCCTCCTGTAAGTATAGCAGTATCATAATTGTTTGGAGGCATCGTATTAGTGAGGTTCCACAGCCGCTACGGCTCCGCTACCTCTCACTGGCTCAGTACATGTTTGATTGGTTGATCCGGCAGGTTAAGCTCTCCTGATTGGTTAATGGTCACAGTAGCGATAGTGAAAGTCAAGTGAAAATGATCACTGTTTATGACTCGTCCGTTGGACCTTTAAAAGATCATTTCTTTAGTTTGTCTCTTATTGTTACAATCTTTGCTTGGCTACGTGCTTACCTGGGAATTATCCTTTTATCTTGATTTGAATACAATGATTGTTCAAACTCTTACTTATATATTTATATATTTACCTTTTATTTTCTTAGTCTCTTGATGAAAGCACCAAAGATGATACTGCTGAAGATATTGAGGCGTACGTTCACATCTTTTGTGCCAAAATTTTACTTGAGTGAAAGACAGACCTATTTGCAAATATAACCTTTCCTTCCAACCATTTGTCTGCAGCCATAAACGGGCCTCGGCCCATTAGGTCTATCAAATATTTTAAGATCTATAGTTAGCTAAAAATGATTCAATGTAGTGCATGGGAGTCATAATAATTATAGCATTAAAAACTGGACATAATTGTCAGCGTAATGTGCACTCTTAACGTGTAGTTTTTAAAGCTTGACGTGTAGTTTTTACATTTTCCCAGTACGGTATTAAATTGTACCTTTTTATGTGTTTCCTTGCTACAAGTAACCTACTTCAGCCCGCAGGAGTTCAACTGAGGCCTGCCGTGTTCAGACTGAAAATCTTTCATGCAGAAGAATTACCACAAAGTGAGTGTAACACGATATTTGGATGTTTACTAGTACAGGACTAAATTTTATTGCCATCGCGTTCAGACATTAACACACCTTCTTCATTTTAAGTGGACACGTCAATTGGAGAGAGTGTTAAGAAGTTCTTCGGTTTTGGAAAGGTACAAATTTAACAAAACTTTATCCATCTTATAATTAAATAATCTGAATTCATTCGTTCTCACCTTCTTTGTTATATTTTTACTTGCAATTGCTGTAACTGCTATCGTGGATAAATGTGGAATGGATCGCCAATCAAGTTATAATTTTTTTTTCATTTTTAGGAGGCTAAGATGATGGTGGATCCATATGCTAAATTCTCATTTGCTGGAAAATCGGTATATGTGCTGTTGGAATTGCTTAAGTCGTCAACTGATGCTGTTGTACTTGTATAGTTATTGACTTTGATCTATTCACCAATATTTATTCATTGTCTTTAACAGGCTCAGACAGACATTGAGACGGAAACAGATCACCCGCAGTTCAACACAATTTTGAGTGTTCCATTCCAGGTAAAGATAGCTTCCATCCCCATCCTATGAGTATTAACCATTTCAGATCATGCGAGATTTACATCTTTTGTCGCTTTTTTATGTATGTTCTATTTCAGTATGAATAATAAAACGCAAACCAAGGTGTTCACGTTAGCTGAAAAAATAAATTGCACACGAAGTTAAGAGAATCTTAAGTGATACGAGTATGGTTAGGGCACGTAGGTTCGTCAAATGCTAGAGAATACTCGACATCATATAGATAGTAAGAACAAAGAGTATAGTTTTGCTCACCTCAAGGTTGCCAATAAATGAATCTTCAGGTGGCTTACAAATTCACAAAGTCAGTTAAGTGGTTCTGATCGAAACGTGGCCATGTGAGCGTTAAAACTATACATGCATTCCTTTCTATATACTCGTGCATTCCTTATTTATGTATATGCAGAATACCTCACTTTAGGTAATTATTTCGCACTCAACATCTTTTGTAGTTCCCTTCAATGTGTGAAAAGCTAAAGATACAATGTTATGATTGGTAAGTTATCAGATAGTAACAATGGATCGAAATTTAATCCAACCTATACTTTTGCAGTAGAAAAATTTAGCAATTGTAACACCAAACATTTAGAATGGTGTGTAGAGTGATGTTCTGTCTAGCACAGGTTTTTATGTTTCAATACCTGTCAACGGTCAACTCCTAGTAATTTAGACGTAGCTACTAACTGTGTACTTCTTACTTTGCCCAATAAATCGTAATTCTTTACGTCTTTTGTGATGTTTTAGGGATCGTATAACGGGAGATGATATCATTGCTACCGCATTCATTTACATGTCTGAAATATCTGGCCAGGGAGAGGAAGGTAGGATATTCAATTGTGCCATCTATACTATATCATGTTTTATAAACACAAATGACAAATCGACCCGTCAATCAAGCTATACCCAGCACTATCCTTTTTTTAGACTGCTTGTCTTAATTGCTTGCTCGTCCTTTTATTGTAATTATACGCAGATGAATATTTAGACGAGAGCCAAATTAAAATGCTATTTTATAGCCCAAGATATTGTGCATGTTCCTGATGGTCTTCTATGTCTTAGGTTTTCTCCCAAAATACGGACCATGTTTCCTCAATATGTATGGATCTCTACGTGAATTTAGCGAACTTGGAGATGAATACGAAGACTTGAATAAAGGGATTGTAAGTATGAAGATGCATGCAAGATATATCACAGCCTAAAGGATAATTTTAATTCAATACTGATTCACGTCTAATATGTCGTGTGTGTTAGATATTAAGCGTTTGCCTTCTTAATTATGACAATTTTTTTTCTCTTATTGAACTTATAACGAGTTTCTCAAACTGAAATTCTGCCTCCTTCAGGGTGAAGGCGTGTGTTATCGTGGTCGTATGTTGGTGCAACTCGAGACTCTGTTGGACGCTGAGGTCGAAGATGAAGCAGCTGAGATTCCTCAAGAAGATGTTGCTCTGGTACAACGTTTCCTACGACGTCGCAAATACAAACTGTATGCTTGCTTTATGGAAGCCACTATGATCTCCATTGATGATTCTCCTGTTGAGTTTGAAGTCAGTATTGGTATGTATCAGTGTTGATATTAACGTAACTAGCCTATCGAGTATCGAATATAAGATACCACGTTGCGTTTCACCCCTGAAGAAGACACTTCACTGGAGTGTCAAAACGTTGGGTTGTGAATCCAATTTGTTTAGTGACTACGATCGTTTACTCCAACCAGACTATGTAGTATTCCTTCTACGTTGCTTGGATCTTATAACTTTAAAATCCTATACCATCTAGGTAACTACGGTAATAAGTTGGATCGTACTGTTGAGCCAGCCTGTTCCACTACACCTCCTACCAACCCAGTATTTGATGGAGAGTTTTACTACTATCTACCGTGGGGAAACGCGAAGCCTTGTGTGAACGTGCAATGTCATTGGGAAGATATCGCATTCCGTTTGCTTCCTTTGAACGCACTGATTAAAACCGTCGATAGATTGGTACGTTGATTCTTAGTAGTTGGGCTTTTGTAGATTTTCGCAACGTAACGTAAATTTCGATACACTAACCAGGAGCAGTTTGCATTTCTTGCTTTAAGGAAGTAGATACAATTTTGACACCGGATCCCAATCTATAGATGCTATTGTTCTGGCACCACCATTTTTTCTTATGACGTAGACATGACATGATACTTTCTTTTTCAGGAAGCCAATCTGGAAAAAGTGAATGTTAGTGTTCAGTCCAAGGCACCTACAGCTGAAACAGCCACCATTCTCATTGCTTTGCTTGACCAACTCATCAAAGATTGCAGGTATGTAATTATTCTTAACACTGTAATTATTCTAACTATTATCCCTACACAGTACACTGGACAAAAGCCAAGAGTAAATATCAGCATTTTGGGGGGCATCTCACTCGATAGAACTAAATGTTGAAGAGTTTTTGTAGATGGAGATTTTTCAAACACCTCTTCAACAGTTTTAGAGGTCCTACGCCAGACCACAAGTTCAATTTCTTGCCAGATGCCTATATAGTTGCATTACTCGTTCCTGGTCCGATTTAAAGTGCATAAAATTTACTCGTAAAATTTCCATTTGCAAAAAACCCTTCACCAAAATGCAAGACGATATCTATTTACTACTTCTCTAGCACTCCACTGCCTCAATTTGATCTAAGCATGATGGGTGTGACACGACTCGACATGAAGAACCAAGAAATCCGTATTGATGAAATGGTAAGCCAAATTTTCTAACGGTGCAACATAGTCACCACGGGTAACTTTACTAACCTACATGTCCTGTACGTCCGGTCACCTTTTATGGATACGCTCTTCCGTAGAAAATAGTACTCGTTCCGTAGAATATCTCATGTTTCCAGTACAATACAGTATATCGTAGTATAATTACGTAGAAGTGTGGTATTTGTCTGTAGAAATGCAATTTTATTTCATATAAATATTACCTTTTTGGCTTGGATAAAAAGTCGCCATTAAAACAAAGGGTGAGAGGTTATAATCTTGCTTGCCTAACAACAAAGAAATGAACGAATTTATTTTAACAAGTAACTTTTATTCTCGCAGGCTCTCATTGCAGAAGAAGCAACAAAATTAAGGGAATGTGCTACGGACGTTCAAGAAGCTTTGAATGACATACAGTCCTATCTTTCTCGTCTCAAGGACGTTGCTGTCGAGGTAAATAGTACTCTTTCGTACATCCTTACAGTTATTAATTTGATCTCCAAACCAATATCACAATCCATGAAAACCAAATTTGCTCGAGTCATTCAATCCGCTAACTGATTGGAAAATATCCACCTCGAATTCATCCATAACCAAGCCCTCCATCCTACCAGTAGTCCAATATTTACTAGTTGGGAAAAATGCCGCAATCTATGATATGGAGTCTATCTTATTCTCTCATTTTCTTGCTAGCCTCAAAACAGCATGCCTGACGTCGTCATCTGGATGTTAAGTGGAAGTGAACGTGTTGCTTACTACAGAATTCCCTCCTACGATCTTCTCTACAACGAAAATCCTGAGTACAGTGGAAAGTCCTGCAAAAAAGTTCTTGATCTTGAATTGAAGGTAAGTTTGCGTAGGAAATGAAGGTTAATAAAGTTCAGTATTATACGCGAAGTAGGATTTATTATTTTGTGGTGATTTAAAACAACAACACTATCGTATCGAAGCGTAGCGTAACTCTTTGTTCCCTTGGCAGTAGAGTGAAACTAATTACTTCGACACAAAAGAAAATGCTACGTTACGATATGATGGAGGTGGAAAACAGTCATAAAAACGAATGTTCACGAAACACCAAAAAAGACATTGAATTTTATTTCTGAGTTGCATTCGAAATTATGCTTTTATATTCATTTATTAACTCTGTGTGATCTCTGTGTATTGTTTTTCAGTATCCAGGTAAGAAAGGTCGCAATACAAAAGACAATCCTGAATTACCAGCTTTAGTTCGCTGCATCTTGTGGTTCGGTTTGGATTCTGATAGCAAAGACTGGACAGGACATCATGACGAAGGCTCTTTCACTGTGTTTGCAGAAACGGTAGGTTAAACAAAGCATGGTTGTTTCTGGCCTTTACGAAGAACATACATGTATTTTTTACACTACTACTAATAATAACAAAAGACTAAATACTTTACTTATTAAATTTTAGTATGAAAATCAGCAAAATGTTCTCAGCAACTGGACCAGCAAGGCAATGATGCGACCCAAGTTCTCTGATTCAAAAGGCGACGTAAGTATTAAGATAACAATTATTAATTGAGCGAAGGTTGAGAATGATCTTTTTCTCATAGCGAAAACCACGAGCCTTTTGAATAAATAATAACATTAGTTATTGCACGGGCGTATTTAATTGATATTGTCACAAATAAAACATTTTTGTAAGAGTATAAAATGCTAATCCTAATTATTACTTTGTTGGTGTGTTATAGTTTAAGCTACCTAAAGACAAGTTCGTTCCTCCGGACGGCTGGGGTTGGGAAGGTGACTGGTTCTTGAATCCAGAACTTAGGTATGTTACCATATTTATGCCATATTTTTTATTTATGTTGACGTGCTTGCATGACAGGTCTAGAGGGTGGTAAAAGGGAGTTTGGATCACGTTTCCGTGAAGAAAAACAGCCCTTTTTAAACACTTTTTAACTTGAATATTTAATCGATTGAAACAATCAACAACTTGTTTTGAGGGTGCAGCACAACCTTGTTCAAGCCTGTCAATATCAACTGGGAACATGTTGTTCGTTTTTACGCATGTATACTATGTATACTGGGAGAAAATTTGTCGAATGACCAGCGTCGAACCAGCATGTTGTGTTCGCATTGCTCTAGGCTTCTAGCCTGCAAAAACGTGCTACAAGGCATTGCTAGAAGTTTATATCCAAGAATTTATTACCGTACAGAAATTCAGCAACTATTAAAAATATTGTTGAGAAAGCTTCTCAAAATCTTTCGGCTGTCGCACATGATTACAATTTTTAAAACATCTTGTATGAATAACTCGAGTCCTAAAGCAAAATAAAAGGAGGTCTCATCTAAAATCGAAATTGTATTAAAGTCTTTAAAATATCCTTTAAAAGATCATACATCTAAGTCACCTTGTATATTTTACTTTACTTTCAGTACAAACGTCAGTAAAGACGCAGGACGCAAGATTTTCCTCGAAGACACTTTTGAATGCGAAGAAAGAAATATTCCTGGTGGCGCTTGGGGGCCAGCTAAAGTACCTTGGCAGGAAATTGTGAGTTTTATACTTGTCGATTTTGACTTGTACTTGGTATAATTCGATAAGTAGTGTAAAATTTGTGATCATTTTCATCTCATTTTCCTTTCATTTGACATCACAGTTGCAAATTGTGTAATATATGCAATTTTCTAATTTGATTCTTCCTCTACTTATTTAAAATAATCTATTTTTTAGAACACCGATGCTTGCATTGACCTCCAAGGGGAACCTATCAAGTCACGTGAACAACTTGCCGCTCCCAACGGTTGGGAATGGACGCAAGATTGGGTGATTGATAGCAACAGAGCAGTGGACGAAAACGGTATGTGTTGTCCAATAGATTTTTGAGCTTATGCGCCAAACCAACTCATTTAATTTTGGCCTTAATTTGAATGCGATTTTGATTAAAGTCCATGTTACACGAAACGATTTTCTACTTGCAACTTAATTTCAGATACAAAGACGGATTTTTAAAAGTCTATTGCTCTCTTGCTAGGTTGGGAGTACACGGTTGATTCTCAGTGGACTGGATTTGGTCCAGTTGAGAAAACCTACCATCTCTGCAGGCGAAGACGTTGGGTTCGAGAAAGAAAAATGGTGACTGATCTTAGGAAAGCTGAGGCGGAGAAGGTAATTAACTAGTGACACTCTATTAATAAGACTTAAATTACTAGTGACACTTAATTAATTACTAGTGACACTTTGTTAATAAGACTTAATGCAGTCAAGTTTTGTTGCGAGGAACATTTCAAGCTTTAGATTAACAAAATAAAATTTTGACGAGTGTTCCAACTATGTTTTAACTTTAATAGAATATATTCGTGATAGGGTTCGGACTTTAAGCCTCCATCAAACTGGAACGAGAATTGATGAGAGTTCGCTCTCGGCGACTCTTATACAATTCTTGATCTCGTTTTAAAAGGATATGAGTGTTGAAAATCAAAGTCTTATGCAAACTCTCGCTTGTTCACACTCATCAACTCGAACCCTCGTTTGCCATGGAGAGGGCGTTAGTTTATCTTATCTTAATGGAATGGAATGTTTTATTTTTAACACCGTAGGGTCTAGGACTTCTCAAATTCTTGTGATTTTTTCTTGAAGTTCTTTTAACTGCTGTTTCAGTTCCTGATAAAGTACGCTCGTCCTTATTAATAAATGGGTTATTCCACTTGTATCGTTTAATTATCAGGCTCGTGCTGCTCAGCTTAAAGCAGAAGGATGGGAATACGCTAAAGTGTTTACTACAAAGTTCCACGTCAAAGAACGAACTATGGATTTGGTGCGAAGACGCCGTTGGCACAGAAAGTTGGTCCAAGAAAGTAGCGATGCTGATGCGCCTGTTTTCAAAATGGACGTTGGTGATGTGAGTTTTTTTTTCATCATGGATTTATATTACGACGGTATACTGTTAAAAATTATCCTGATAAGGAAATCCTGATTTCGTTGCAATTGTCCCAACAAAACTGTTATACAAGAAAATTTCCCATAGAGGCTCCCTCAGAAGGCCTTCTACTCGATTAGGTCGAAATTCCCTCCTTCACAAATAAGCTTAAATGCAGACGGCCAAATTGACCAGGATCGTAGAATCAAATACTACTTATCCGTTTTGAGTCTCTGTACTCATTTTCTACACAAGTCAGCCGGCATAACGTAGGGATAATATCCAGGATCGATATAAACAGTGAACGCCTTCTGTATTTATAGAAAGATGATGAATCAGAGCACACTATGAATTCCCCGAGAATGTTCCTGACATACGATAGTAAGATATAATCTAAAATTCTGTCGTTGCATGGGAGGTCTGTGAAATTTTCATACTTCATACATGTGAAATCTTTCGATTTAAGGGGAAAAATCACAATGATTTTTTGTTTTCTTGTCGCAGAGCCTCATCAATACCAGCTTAGAGCGTACATCTATCAAGCACGTGACCTTCTTCCTTCGGATCAAGATGGATATTCAGGTACACTTAACGGACGTAAAAGCGGTTCATAGATTGGCTAGCACGGTTGGCAGATGTGGTTTGCGCACTGCCCCTTACTACTATGTTATGCATGCTACTCGAGAGCAGGGATTTTCTTAGGTTGGTTAAAGCTACGTTTACACGCTGCGATTTGTCGGGCCGATTTTGGTAAATAATCGATGCCCCTTCTTCGACATTTAGCTATTTAAACGTTCAATTGAAGCTGTCCGCTCTCTCGTCTGTTCATATTATAGTTTTCTGCGTGTGAAAAGTATTCAACAATTTTACAACGGAAGAAAAATCGTTGAATCGTGAGAAAAATCTGTGTTAGTGTTACAGATTTTTCTCCCGATTTTGTGAATCGCAAGGTGCTGACGCGAGTACTGACGACAGGTTATTTACATACAGCGAGCAAAATCGGCCCGACAAATCGCAGCGTGTAACCTTTACTTAACTTTCTTGTGGATGAAGTAGGGTCTTACTTGTTCTCTCCTGTCCTTCGATGGTTTATAACCCTTAGGCATTGATTACTATTGTAGATCCCTATGTGAGAGTGGTATTTGGAAATATCAGTCTAACCACGCAGCCATTGGAAAAGACGTTGTGTCCAACTTGGGATCAAACTTTAATCTTCGAAAATCTTGGTATCCACGGCTCTGTCAACAGTGTTCTTGACAATCCTCCGAACATTCTTTTGGAGATTTTTGACGAAGACAAAGTCGTAAGTATATTACGAGGCTGAATACACAAATTTCACTTTTTAGAAGATATAGTACTTTTATAGGGAAAATGACTTTAAAATTTAAATCGATTTTATCGGCCGGGTGTATGGGAAAGATTTCGATGGAATCCATGGCCAATATTGTTTAGAATGTGTTTATCTATATCTGTGCCAAATTTTATTTTTGTTATAGAAACATTGTGATACCTGCTGATTTGTATAATTCTGTTTTATTTCGTAGGGCAAAGACGAGTTTCTGGGTCGTGCCCGTGCTGAGCCCGTGGTTCGTGTGAATGGAAGTGAAGGCGGTCCAGCTCGTTTGGCCTGGTATACAGTTGAAAAAGATGATGGCTATGCTGGAGACATCTTGGCCGCGTTTGAATTATTTTTGGTTAGTCGGGGGGAAATGTTGTTCTATACAATTGGTGCCGCCGCTATTTTTTCACTCCTGTAGCCATTGTGCACCAGTTGTAAAAGATAACATATGCCAGCCATTATGCAGTAAAATTTGGCTCAGTTAGGCGGGCTGAAAGAACTACAGGTTTTTCCCTTTTAGCAACAGTAGAGCAGTATGGTAAGGGTAGCCCTTTCTAGACTTGACAAAACTTATCCAGTATAAAGAAAGTTAAGTTTTCTTCAAATACATTGTATCATGTTTTCAGGATGAAGGCGCAGAGTTACCGTTTGCTCCACCAATGCGAGGGGACTTTTATCTCGTTCCAAATGGTGTTCGACCTGTATTACAAAGAACTGCTTTGGAGGTACGTTGTGTATGATTGAATTCGTTGTCTTCCTTTGTGTTACATATTCTTCTTACCATTCCTCTTTCTTATTTTAATGCAAACAAACATTTAATCATATTAACAGGAAATAATTGCTACTTATACTCCCCATCTTAGGTGATGTGTTGGGGATTGAGGAACATGAAAAAATATCAACTAACGAGTGTAACGTCACCAAGCATCGACTTTGAAATTGGTGATAAAAAAATCACCTCCACTGTTATCAAGAACCTCAAGAGAAACCCTAACTTCGATGAACCTTTGTTCTTCTTTGATGTGGTATGAAACTTTTTAAAGTGTTAAAAGTCACAGCATTTTATTTAAACTAATAATGCTTCGTATTTGTCGTAGTATCTTCCAAAAGAGGAAATCTATTCGCCTCCTCTGCGGGTTAAAGTCCGAGATCACCGAACATTTGGTCGTTCCCCAGTCGTTGGCACTCACTTGGTGAAAAGTTTGGCACCATTCCGTCGTGAGGTACCACAAGAAGATAACAACTCTGACATCGTACCTACAGGTACAGTCAATTTGGATTTTTTGCCGCGTGCAAGTTGTGTCGTTTTCTAACTGTGCGAATGCAGTGAACATGCACTCGGGAAAAGTCTGTAGCCAAGACTCCCAGAATTGAATTGAACTCGTTCAGGAAATAGTAGAGACCCTTATACATAGATATCTTATATACACTAGATAGTGCATCTAATTATTCTGCCATTCAAAAATTGGAACCGTGATTGCAGTCTCAGGTCGTTCCCATGAAATGAGAAGATTCGTATGTTTTCTATTTCTTAAACAGGGAACTTAAACATTAAGTTAACCCCTTATTCCAAATACCTTTTCAAACTATTCAAATGATGAAAGTTATTATTGTTTTTAAGCGTTTATTAGCAAGTGGGAACGACCAACATGGCCGCCATCTATTGAAATGGGGGTAACCGCTAGAATATTCTTGGCATCAATTTTACTAAAAGAAATTCGCTATCTAGTGTATATAACATATCTATGCCCTTATAGGAGTTTTATATATATACTGTTATCGTTCATTATTTTAAGTTCCTTTACCTTACAAATCAATTGTATAAACAAATCTTACCTTACAAATCAATTGTACTGTATTTTTTCAGGTGACCAAGTTGATGCTGCTGCTGCCCCTGGAACTGCCGTTGTTGAGATGAAAGAAGAAGCGAAGGTACCGTAGGAGGTCTTTTTTATTTTATGTAATCAGAAACACGCTTGTTGGAATGGCTCTTCCATTTTAAAACATGAAAAATTTCATTGATTTCTCTTAACACCGATCAAACTGCATTGCAATAAATGAAAGAGAGTCGATCAAAATCCTAGAAATGACTCTATTTTTTAATCCAAAATTATTCAAGTCGTTTTGAGCAAAGTTAAGAGTCGTATAATTTCTCCAAAAATGGTATTTTTAACCCCATTTTGACACTTTCATTTCATTCTAGGATCCCAAGGAAGATGAACAAATTGACTGGTGGTCAAAGTTCTACGCCTCCATTGGTGATGAAGAAAGAGCGGGAGAATACAATGACAAAGGATATGACAAACTTACAGTAAGGAAAATAGATTATTAAACTCAAATAACCCTCGAATAACTGGACTGTCAAAAAAAAATTCTCCAACGAAAAACAAGCACCAAATTTTTCCAATCAAGAACCTATTGTCTGTTGTTCCACGTTGGTACACAATTCGTTTACTTTGCATGACCCTGTGCTTACATTATCAAAACAGTGCTACAGAACGAAGTTGACTAAGTATTTTTAAATACTTAAAAGTTGTCATTCTTCCAAGGTGTACCCTGGGCCTCTCGAGAAGGTCGAAGACTTCGGAGGTTTGTGTGACTTCCTTGACACCTTCCCATTGGTCCGTGGAAAGAAGAAGAAACGTCCTGACGATGATGACGAAGAAGTTGGAGAATTTAAGGTGTGTTAACATGTTGAACATGATTTATTTGTTTTTTGGAAATACCTCAATTAGTTTTACCCAAAACTATCGATCCCTAAGCCCAGGTTCCCATCAGCGCAGAAGAATATTCGAGCTTAAAATGGACGAATGAATGAATGAAAGCATAGATCGATGGAACTTACCAAACGTCAGTCGGTAACTTAGCTCGCATTACGAAGAAAAAATATTTCGAATGTCATTCAAACAAATAAACAAGCTAGTGCTGCATGCATGTGCTTTTGGCTAACTATACGCGTTTCAATTCTGTCTAGGGAACATTCCGTGTGTATCCGTTGCCAGCCGATCCTAACGAGCCACTTCCACCAAAGGCCATAAGGAATCTGCCACCATCGGAACCTCTTGAATGCATTATCAGAGCATACATTGTCAGGGTAAGTTGTGTAAAATTAAGTCACTACTCTATTAACTACAGTTGGACACAGTTATGGAAGCAAGCTACAGGTATGTCCACAACACAAGACTAATACTAATAGTGAAACACCATTTGAATATATAAACTTACTGTAGATTCAAGGAATTGATGGTTTGTTGTAATTTTTATTAGGGCATTGATTTACCACCTCAAGATAACAGCGGCTTGGTAAGCGACACCTGAAATACTGTAGATACAAAATCTGGAGTAATGAATTTGCGTAGTATTAATGCATACTAATTAACATTAATATCATCTACACATAGGCTGATCCATTCCTGGTTATAACTCTTGGCAAGCAGAAATTTTCAACTCGTGATACCTATGTTCCTAATAATCTAAATCCGGTCTTTGGCAGGTACGTGAACAACTGCAATACACAATAAACTCTAATACTAACCGATAATACCAACCGATTTCGCGTTTTCCTTATGTAGGATGTTCGAATTCACCGCCAAGATCCCAGTGGACAAAGATCTTACGATCTCTGTTCTTGATTATGATTTGATCAGCTCTGATGACGTAATTGGCCAGACAACAATTGATTTGGAAAACCGTTTGCTTAGCAAACATCGTGCTATTTGTGGATTGCCTGAATCTTACTGCGAGTAAGTATTAACATACCGTACAGTAGAACTGTTATACCCCAGTTGAAGCCAAAGTTAAATGAAACTGGAAGCACGTGTCTGACACGCGACTGAATGGAAATTGTAATAAGATTACTGTACAGGGATCTATTCTCTGTCGCAAATGTGAAGGACGGATGAACTTACTACTTTGTCATCAACACCCACTTTCTCTACGGAGTGGTAATTCTATATTCAATATTCTGATCTTCTACAATGTTTCTGCCCTTTTATTTTAAGAACTGGTCCAAACAAATGGCGGGACATGCAACTACCCTCGGAGGTCTTGGATTCGTACTGTGAGAAGAGATGCTTGGGAAAGCCGAGGTACAATGGAGACACGATTGTCCGAGTGGATCACAAAGATTACTCCTTGGAAGAGTTCGGTAGGTTTTTGAACTTGCAATGAAAATTTTGTAATTCGGATCTATACTACAAGGTGATGCCAATGTAAGGTGTATGGGTAATGGAATTTAGTATATAATACATGAAGTTGCGGTTAGAGCGCAACGACGTACAGAATGGACCATTTGCATTATAGACTAAATTTTGATCTAGACAAAAATTTCATCACAGCTTGAAAGAGCATCACAAAATTAGTAATATTCCAAAGTTTCGTTGCGAAATGTTGTAAAATGCGGATAATATAGCCATGCGAAGTTTGCCGTTTTTCAGTCATTTTGTATTACGCACGGGAAATTGACAGCCCAATCGGGTGTTGCGGCATCAATTTCCCGTTTGTAATACAAAATGACTGAAAATTGCAAACTTCGCAAGGCTATATTATCCGCATTTTACAACATTTCGTAACGAAACTTTGGAATATTACTAATTTTGTGATGCTCTTTC